AGGTAAGGTGGTAATGCTGTATGGCGTGAAATCTGGTCTCGGGTAAGATATGCACCAGTTTGCGTACTTCAACGTACGACCATGTTTTTGAAGTACAGAAGGGCGGTGTTAGGGAGCATTTTAGGCATCAGGGCTTGTCATCGGTATGCGGTCAATTATTCTCATATCTTCAAAGCACCGGCCCCTAACAGAGTTACTTTCAACAACTGGACGAAAAACCGCCGAAAGGTAAGACTCCTTTCCCGTTTTTACAGCAAGTCCTGAATTACCCTTTTATAGAATCAGACTAAGCGTTCGGCATTGGTAGTTGGTGGTTTAAGGGCTTTCAACAGCACACTGTATGACTTCTGTATTTTAGCGAAAGGATATGAGCCGCTAATGCTTGCTCATTGCTTCCTTGTTCTCTTGGTTCCGCCAGTTGAAAACAGCATTTAACAGTTTATTTATATGCAACACAAATGATTTGGTCAGTCGGATGACTGACCAGTACTGACGTTTTGGACCCGTATCTGACCTTCTTCGGAAACATCGATTCGTTGTTTCGGAGACATAGCGCCCATCTACTTCCTCTCTCCCTCTCTGATAGACTAAAGTGTCTATTGTGTATGAGCAAACCGCGCTTTATGCGGTTTTCCATATGACCACCAACGCATGAACCGAATACTTACTGTTCCTGTACAAGCATCTTATAGGCAGGCATAGTCTCATGTTCGATATATCCTAATGTATAATTCCTTCCTAAGTGTTTGTTCAAAACTGCACTGAAATCATACTGATTCTCAGATGTGAAGTGATCCGATTCTTTGAAAAAGTTTTATGACGGTTTCATAGGAAACGCATCGCAACCGCAGTTGGTTATCCAAGAAACGGGCAATTCTGCGCAGAATCCTTCGTTACCGGCAACCGTATTTCCATGTATCATTGCAGTGAATGGCTGGACATCCAGCGACCGACCTGTCGCGCAGGCTGTTTACCAGACTGTGAATAATGATGCTAAGCAGGAGTGTCAGTCATCACCGATCACCTTGGCAAGTGTCGTTGGTCAAGCTTGGAATGATCATCCAGTGGCATCCAACCGGACATCTGTTGCACCGGAACCTCAAACAGAAAATAGTCAGATGGAGACGATCGACATCAGTTCATCTCCCGAACAAGCAGAACCCCTGTCCTCTAACCTTCCTGCCAATCTACCGCCTTCTGTTGTCCAGGCGATCATTTTGC